CTTTCACCTCACCCCAACTGACTTACAAGACAAAGTATTTTCGTTTTTAGTTAACGCTTAATCTAAGCCACTTATTACTTCAAATTTCAATTGTAAAACGACTGTGACAGACGGACAGACAAAGAGACATAAGTATTTCTAATTCCCAAATTTGGGTACTAATGCGCAAATTACTTGAAAAATTCTTTGTTTTTGTCTTACAAATTTTACTGTTTATCATGTTTCGTATTTATCACATTTAAATTTGATATTGTTTTATCACGAGAGAAACGAGACGAGACAAGACGAGAGTAAAGGCCTTCTCGTCGAGACAAAAGAACAGCTTTCTCTCGCCTTACGAGACGAGACGAGAGAGGCCACTTTCTCGTCTCGTCTTGTCTCGCGGTATCACTATAAGTATCAGTTTAAGTAAGTTAAATCAATGAAATACCCAAATTTGTTTGCAACCCAATTGAAGCATTTGCCAATTTGGGAAAATCTGGTCATTTATTAGCCCACCTGCTTGGATGTCTGAGTTCCAGTTTCATGATTTCTCAATAAATATTCCTATTAATTATCTTAATTATATCTAGTATGTACTTGAAGTAATTTGTTGCGCTAAGTTTTGTTGCTGGAACTAATACTTTGTTCTTAAGAACTCATATTTTTGCCGATATAAGTATTGGCCTAAAATACGCGTAGGCAGTATGCCAGTATCTCTTGAACTCCCATCAAGTGATGGAAATAATGTTAGGAATTCATTCGCTTTCAAATGTTCACGAAGACGATTTGTGAATATTATATGTCCAAAATGGTCTTCACATAGTCTGTAAGTCATCGAGTCTATCAGATAGATCTTCTCTGTTGGCTTTCATTGTTTAAATCTTTGCCCTTTACAAAACAAGTTATATGTTATTTTTAAAATTATAGCTAAATATGTTTCTAAATTAGCTTATGAGCACGAAATTCTTATTAAAAAGAATAATTTGTATAATACCAACGATTACAACATCGACCAGTTAAATGGTAGCAATAATTTAAATTATGCTTAAAATTATTATTGTTTTTCGCTAAATTTCATTATATGTCTGAAAGAGAATAATTAATATACTTTCCTTATAAAAATTATGTATAATTAATGGCCTAAAAATAAGTTGCCTAGAAAAACTAAAGAATCTCTTATAAATTGTATCTTTTGTTGTGACAGCTTTTAACAGCACAAACTGGTCCTGCTTTTTATTTAGTTATAGTTGTTATTAACTTCAAACATAAAATACTCCTAAAACCTTAACACCGAACAAACAAATCCACAAATATAGTCGTGACTACGTCAATGGCGTGGTTGAGAGTAACCGACTAATATCAATAAGCGCGCCACTGCTTTACCACGTTCTAAGAAGGAAGGCGAAGCTAAAGCAATGCGCGTAGAGATCGGCGCAAACCGTTCCCGCCTTTTGAGTCCCCGAGCTTGTTGTTATGATAAACTGTGCTTTTATCTTGCTTTAGATTATTTTCTAAGCATATGACAACTCTTTTTTATTTCTTTGTTTCAATATTAATTAGAATAATTACCAAAGGATTCTAAAAGGGTTAACACCCAGCGTTGCAATTTTTGCAATTTCAGACTACATTCTATTTTAAATCCTATATTTTCTTCTACTATTTTGGAATATGGTATTTAGAACAATTAATTAGGAATTATTTTATAGTAGGTAGTTTATTTTTATTAAAAAACTATCTATGTAGCTTTCCTTCGTTTTCTTTTGCAATATATTTGATATTAGCGAATGTTTTTTATATAGTACAAAGAAATTCAAGAGAAGCCCATTACTAGTATATACTGTACATGTTAGACTGGTTCAAGAACTATAGACTAAAAGTTTTGTGGAACCTGAAATATGCATGTTTCCAAAATTATATAAAGTGTCGTTCAAGTGTTTTATTAAGGACTATTTTAGATGCTAGTGAAAAATGATGCAGATTTTGATAGTGTGTATATAGCTAATGTAAGTAATAAAACCGATTTATGAGAATGCAGTTTTTTTTCTTTTTTAATTTGTATTAATTTATAACACTGCTCAACACTAATTTTATTGGATTGGCTCTATTTTTGGAGATATATTAGAAAATTATGATAAAATAAAGAAATAAATCACTTTAAGAGACATGTATTTCCCAAAAAACTTGCTTATGGGGTAGTACAAATGACAGTGTTGTCGAAAAAATGAAACGAAGAAACAATAAACTCCAAAATGATTTATTAGGTATTATAACAAAGAAATAAAATTTAATTTGGAAAATTATATCTAATTCGTAGGGAAGAAGCTCTTTTTATATGATTTTCTTTTGTGGGGACGGTCAGGAACATCTCGTTAGAGGCTCCAGCAATAGTCTGCCTTCGTATGCTTATTTCATCTGCACTGATATCTTTCCTCCATCGCCTTTATATCCTGGTGGAATCTTTTCCCTTGTTCCTTACTTAAGTCGCCAAGATTGTCGGAATTTTTATCCAAGTGACTATAAAGAAAGTGTACTTTAATACTCATATTAGTACATAGGTTTTTAAAGTTCAATAACATCTGTTGCACCAGTTGCTCATAATTGTGCGCTACGTGATTACCCAAGAAGTGCTTTACCACCGAAACAAAGCTACACCAAGCAGCAGCTTCAAGTGTCGTCATGTGATTTATAAAATTAGAGTCCCTGATAAGTTTGCGAATTCGAGTGCCATTAAAATTACCCGCTTTTAGCTTTTCTATACTTAGCTTAGGAAACGATCTTCATATGTATTTAAAGCACCCGCCATCTTTATTTAAAGCTTTAACAAATTGTTTCATTAGTCCTAACTTGATGTGTAGCGGTGGGAGAATGATTTTTTCACGGTTAACCAATGGTTCGTTCATTATATTTGCTGTTCCTACAATCATATTTTGTCTTATTGGCCAATTAATCCTCTTCCAATGAACTTGCTTCGTCCTACTATCCCACAAGCAGATAAAACAAGGGTGTTTCGTGTACCTACCTTGCTGCCCAAACAAGAAGTTTACTATAAGTTTTGTTGAGTGGGTGATAGGAATTAAAGCATATCTACTAGAACTGTCTATGAACAGTCGCCAGTCATTTGGAACAAATTGAATTCCCATTTAACGAAGTCCGGGAATATTGTTGCAATTAACAAGATCTTCATCTTGATTGAAGTAAGGAACAAGTTTAACATCTCGTGTTCTATAAATTGTTATTTTTATATCTGTAGAAAGTTTTTTCTTTTAACCTGGATGCTAGAAGTTCAAATGCTTGCTTTGATTTAACGAGGTTTCGTATCAGGTATTTTAGTTCTTTTTGGGAGAACTGCTAGGGTGTTGATTGTATTCCCTCATGTTAACTTGTACTGCTGTTACTGTACTGGTGCTCAATTTCTTCTACTTCTGACATCGAAACATCTGGCAATGTGGTACATACTGGTACGGGAATCTCTACGTTATGTGGCACAAGTTTTCGTGCTGATTTTAAATCAGGATAATCCCATTTGCCTTTCTTGTATGTGTTAAAACCTTTTACATTAACTAAATAAAAATAACAATCGTCGTGGTGGTTTCTGATTTCTCTCCACGCCATGGGCACCCAAACAAAATTTTTTTTCTCTTTTGGTTTGTCCATTGTCGTAAAGATTCGACACATGTTTTGCACACTATATGGAGAGCCCAGGACTTGTCTTGATCTTTAAGCTTTACGCCGAAATAACCTTGATAAGCTTGCCTAACAAAATCTGTTATATTTTTTCTTTGCTTCTCTACAGTATATTCGCTACAAATGTCGCAGAAGACATTAGGGTTATTCAAGCAGCTTCTTCGTGAAGAACTCATTTCTCTGAAAAGCAAGCGTAACTTTGTTTTTATTTAAATATATACAAATATGCTTGACGTCTTTTACACTTAAATAACTTCACTAGGTAGGTAATATGAAATAAATACACAAAACAGGTAAGAAAAGCACAATAACCGCGACGCTAAGCCCTTAATATAACTGCTTACGCTAAACTGACACAATTAAAGTTAAAATCAATACACAAGAAACAAACAATTGCACGCATTGATCACGTGGTCAACAGTCAGCATGTGATTAGACAGGGTCAAACTCTCGTTTCTGCCCAAAATGTGTTATTTGTCAATTCTTAAAAAATAGAAAGCGGTGTCCACTATCTCAAAAACAAAAACCAATTTGGAAAAAATGGTTTTATTTTTTAATTCAGCATTACCCTTAATTCGTTCAAAAATAATTGGTAACAAATTTTTTATTGAAATTTTGTAGGGCGGTCTAATTTATTAGGAAGTCTGAAAATCTTTTTAAAAAACTGTTTGTATTATATATTATTTATGTCTTTCTGTCACACCCTATGTTATTAGTTAATATTATCTAGTATTTAATATAACAAATAAGTGATTAGAAGTCATGTTCTAATTATGGAAATACATGAATATACACCTTATTTTGGTAATTATAATTCCTATTTTTTAAGACTCTTTATGATGTATTTTACGAAGTGAAAATAAGCATAAATAAACTATTTACAATTGTAACACAGGCCATAAGTTTCATGATGGAAAAATCATAAATCACTTAAGAGTGGTAGAGGTATATGTGACAATATTTTTTCTGTACTCTTTACTTTTGACTCCTTTTAACAACTCACCCTGTAGAGCTGCAAACTTAGGTCCATAAGAAAGTTACCCATAATGACCTAAAAAGTAACATACTAAAATATTTACAAATTCTGACAGTACCCAAAATCAATATAAAAATTGCGGGATCCTTTAGAGCTCTCAATATTCTCGAAACACGCAATATCGCGAAAACTTCCCAGTGGCGCGCAATACAATATTATATTAGAAAATCCTTAAAATATTTTTACTTTTGCGAGAGGTCCGGTTTGCTCTTAAATACTTTGGAACCGATAGTATAATATATTATATACATATACCAACACACTAAAGTTCTTTTATTAGACCCGAGAGTTAGCTTACCAAAAGTTCTCCAGATCTGGGGTTGAAAGTAAGGTTATGTATCCAGCATCCCTCGATGGAAGATGAGCGAAGAACATTATCACTCTGAACGTTAAGTATATAAAAGCACTTAACATCGCCGATAGCAAGTAAAGACTCTTTCCATGGATGCCAAGCGATAGCCTACAAATAACATGATGTAATAATATGTGTTATTTATAAAGTAATAACTACTAGGACTTATCCACAAGCTTCACATTTGGCCTATTACCAGTAATTTGTCAGGTATAAATGTTTGACAGTTTGACTCATTTGCCATATAGGTAATTCGTCAGTATTCGTTTCTCTGCTGGCAAGATCAAGTTTACACAAAATTTGTCTGTGCTATCAGCAACTGAATCGGTGAGTGAAAGAACAATACAAGAGCCAAAAATGGCAATTTTAACCGAGATAGGCAAATTGTTTTAAATTCATAGGCCTATCACATAGCGAAAGAATAATACACCGAAAAACATCGTACGAGCGATGGGAGCTTGTTCAATTTTCGGATGAGTGAAAGAACAGTATACGTGCGGCGCATGTACTGTTTTTTGCTCAGTCGCCATGTCGTTTCGTAGACAAATTTGACAGATTTTAAAAACTGGTGGTAACAGTTTCAAAATAAAACGACCAAATCAGTTGATGAACAAAAAGCTAGTGAAATTCCTGGGTATGTTACTACAAGTGCCTTTATAGGTGGTTTTCTCTCGCACACTTTTAAACTGATCAAACCTAATGCCAACCCGCATTTACCCTTATGGTGGGCGTACACGCTACGATCTACCGGAGAGGTCTGCCCACAGATCATACATACTAGGTCTGCCTGTGCAGGTGTGCCTGCACAGGTAGACCGGAGCGTGTCTTGGAATCGACCTGTGCAGTGTTTTGAACCTGCATAGGCGACCGGAGCAAAATCGAAAATCAATTCGTTTTAGTGACATCGTACGGTGAACCTACGCAGGCAACCTGCATAGGTAAACCTCTGCGGTAGACCGTTGCGTTTATGCCCGCCTTTAGAAAAGGCATACTTAGAAGTTGCCCCTATTAACGTAAAGGAGATAGCCAATTTAAGGACACTTTCATCTTACTTTAGTGAAAAAATCCTAGATTTTCCCTACCATATTATTTTCTTGGAAAGTCAAATGAAGATTTTAAAGAAAAATTAAAAATAAGTTTGTTAAATAATAATCAATAAAGCTATAAAAAAAATTATTTATAATATTTTTTCTTAAATTGAGTGAAAGAACAGTATAACTGCAAGTAATTTTTTTCAAATATCATCTTTTGCATAATTTTCTTTTTAAATTTATCTATGTAATATTATCGGTTAACAAAAATTCTATAACTTCACAATACATAATTAGGCCGAATAGCCCATAGTTTTCCTTTAAAACAGTTTTTTTTGTTTTTCTCAAAATGGTCATTTTGGATATATACTGTTCTTTCACTCACCGATTCAACTTATTTTTTTTTTAAGAAGATATATCGAATGGTATTAACATGTTTCATTGTGGGTCATAGATCTCAGAAACCCTTAATATAGCAATGACAAAAATTCTGACTTCCTACATGTTGGTCACAAAATTTATTTTATTTTTTAAGTCGGTTAAAGAATAATAAATTACATACCAAGCTGTTAAGTGTCAACTGAGCGCGTCCCCGGGTGGTGGATAGGAGAACGACCAGAATTTCCCTAATTAGTGATAGACATAAGTAGAGTGAGAGAGTCTAACAACTTTCAAAATCTTTTGCGAAGGCTACCGCCGCAAACCCACTCGCCCGATATGAGGTATAAGGTAACGTGCCGACGGTTGAATTGTCGCAGAGGCAGATGCAGCAGCCAACGTTCCTCTCAAAGTACCTGGCGACACCCTCTTGTACCTATTTTTTCCGACCTTTTTCTCCCTAGCTACTCGTGGGAACCTTATGAATCCAAACCCACACATATCCAAGGAGGCTGGACGTCAACGCTCACCTCCAGCTAAGGAATTTGTACGTCAACGTTTACCTTCAGCAAAGGAGGTCATACGTCAACGTTCACCTCCAGCAAAGGAGGCCGGACGTCAACGTTTATCTCCAGCAAAAGAGGCTGGGCGTCAAAGTTCACCTTCACCAAATAAAGTTGAACTTCAAGTTTCACCTCCAGCAAAAGAGGCTGGACGTCAACGTTTATTTCCAAAAAAGGAGGGTGAACAGCAAAATTTAACTTCAGTACAGGAGGCTGGACAGCGATATCCACCTCAAAAATACGAGGATGGGCACCGCAGTTCACTTTAAACCGACAGTTACCAGAAAGCATAGAGGATATCTGATTCTGAAGCAAAAAAAGAAGAATAAGGCAAAACTGCTGGCAGGCAGTTTCGGCAACTCCCAATGATAGAATACGCCCCCACTTCAAACCCAACCTAAGCAGACCATTCAATCAAGTCTTTAAATAGCGACGCTAGTTATGCCTCCACAAGAGGCCATGAATACGACGCAACCAAGAACAGGAAAAGACCGCGATCGGTTACAACTTTGAGGAGGCATACTAGTAAGAACGAGTGATCAAACACTAACCTAAAATGCTTATCAAACTTCAACAGGGTGGCTACAAGAACATTATGCAACTGCCTTGATAAACTGCAAGATACAGTAGCCCTCATCCAGGAACCAACCCTGTATATTAAAAACCAAAATTGTAGGTCTAAAATATTTAAATAGCTCATTTTTAAGCTTTTCCAGCAACCAAAAACCTAGGACAGCACATGCCTAGGAAATATAAATCCCATTCAATGGCACAACTTTCCACCTCCGATTTAACTGCGGTAAGATGGAATATGCCATCAAAACGTTGATCTTGGCACTTGCATACCTCCCCTCCGACGCAACCACGCCACCGACCAGCAAAAAGTTGGAGGATCTGATTGAATACTGCCTGAACCAAAAGTTTGAGCTGGTAGTAGGTTGCAACTCAAATACTTATCACTTTAGTTGGGGCAGTAAGGATAAAAACGCTAGAGTCAGGTCACTACATGATTATATAAATACCAAAAATCTTTGTATTTGAAATAAAGGTACTACACCAACATTTATAAACTCACGCAGTCATACACCAATAGATATCACTTTATCTACAACTGGTATCTATTAACCAATTCTAAACTGGCAAGTGTCTGATGACATTTTGATGTCAGATCACCGCTGATTAACATTCAAAATAAACTTGATGTTGCTGACCTCTATGATATCTTAAACCTCTAACAGTGCTTTAAAAAAGTAATTAAATACTATCCAAGGTACAATAAACATACCAATTAATTAGTCCGACATCGTCTTCCATGAAGACATTGGAAAGGCTATGGGAAAGGTACATAAGTGATGTGGTGATTACAACAACACCACTATACCCAAATCAACATGCATACACCCCAGACAGATCTACTGATTTAGCGCTTCACCTAGTTGCTGGCCAGATAGAAAGATCTCTGGAAAATAAAGAGTCTGCCTTGAGTGTTTTTATAAACATAGAAGGTGCTTTTAAAAAGACGACCTATATCAAGATACTACATTCACTAAACAATAGGAATGTTCCACAGATAGTTAGTGGGTATATTATACACATCATGCTCTCAAAGCGAACAGGTAACATAAGTGTAGAAAATGTAAATATAAGGGGCCTGGTTGCGAGATGATGTCCACAGGGAGGGGTGTTATCACATCTACTGTAGAGTATGGTCCTCGACACCCCCATCAGCTACCTCAATAATGACAGTCACTACACAATTGCGTATGCAGATGAGCTGGTCATTCTGCTAATGGAATTTTGAAAACATACTCTGCGAAAGAATGCAAGTAGCTCTTAAAATTATTAGACATCGGTGCAAGAATAATTCACTGTCTATCAATTCTAAGAAGATAGAAATGGTCCTTTTCACAAGGAAAAGGGTGAAAATGGAATTAAAGCCTCCTAAATACGAAACTTTGCAACATAAGTGAAGTACCTAGGTCTCACCTTTGACAGCAAGTTAACATAAAACTCAGACTTATAAAACAGAGTCAAAAAGCATACATTGCTTATTCACGCTCCTATATTGAAATTCCTCATTTAACGAGAGCGCTCTGTAAAAGAGCGTTGTCGGTCGAATATAGATTACCCTATACATTTTAAAATATGTAATAATTTATCTCCGTATAGTTCTATACTATATTAGCCTAGCTATAAAATAGCAATACAGGAAACTTAGGACTTACTCTTGTCGGTGTTATATTGAGGTTAAATTCCTTGAGTTCTTCCAACCTTGGATAACTCCATACCATTACAATGTTATCGCTTCCAATTGTAACTAGATATTTTTCTTTGCAAGATAATGACATTTTTATGATTTTTGAATGGTGGCCCTTTCGGCCATTTATCATCTTAAAAACAAAAAAAAAAAATAAAAAAATAAAACAACATAATAATATTATTATGGAATAAAGTTTAATAGTGGGAAATTATTTCAGTGTTTTCGACTTTGTTTTAATTTTATTTTATATTGGTAAATTGAATTATCCCACCCTACAGGTTTTGACGAGTTGAGAGGCAGGTTCTGTATACCCCTGGAGGATGCCCAATGGGCCTTATGGGGCCTAAGTGTTGTGAAAGAACCCACCTTATTGATAGAGATAGCTTACATTGTTAATTATAACTAGTTTTCGATATTGCTATGAAATTAGAATGTCCATTTTGACAAAAAATATTATGTATTATACATCCACATTCTATTGACTATTGTAAGTGGTAACTCATATAGTGAGTTTTTATTTATTACTTATTAATTTATTTTATTACTCAATTATTTTCAACCATTAATTAATTATTTTTAACAAAATTCGACTACAACTACAATCTACACGGAAAATCAGTTTAGTAGAAATAACTACTTTTTTTTCTCTCCTGGGCTCGTCTGACTATTTGTCTCCGAATAACACTGATGCCTATTGACTTATTGTGTTTTACCCCATGTTAGTTCATAGTACCCACTCTATCACCTTTGTACCTTGTACAAGTTTGTACAGATCCTTGGGTGAGTGGGTTCTATACGTTGTTGGATCAACCTGGGGCTGTCCAAAAATAGCCTGTCTTTTGCGATCTAGCGCTTCGCATTCGCACAGTATGTGTTTGGCCGTTTCTGGTTTCTTGTGACATAGTCGGCACATGAGTTCCCCATTGTACATGCCAATTTTGTTCAAGTGTCCCTTTACTGGGGCGTGCGCAGTCATGAACCCTGTTATCACTTTCAACTGGTTCCTATTCATTAAGAGTAGTTCTCCAGTTCTTTTGGGACATGATCTGCCTATGAAGGCTTTTCCATGTGCCTGTTTTGGGGTGCTTCCCCAATAGTTAATATGTTGTTCCCGAATCCAGTCATTTATAAAACCCCGGACTGTACTTTTTGGTACTCCTGTGTTTGTGTCTGGTTCCGGTGTTTCTTCTGACCCTCTTTTTGCAAGCTCGTCAGCCTTTTCGTTGCCTTCGGTCCCATTGTGTCCTGGTACCCAAAATAGTTTTACTCTATTTCGGTCTGCCAGTGGTCTTAGTTCTTCTATGTATTCCCATACCAGCCTCGACGTAACTTTCTGACTCGATATGGCCTTAAGTGCCGCTTGGCTATCTGACATTATTTGAATATGCTGATTTTCGTTTTTGCACATTGCAAAATTGCGTATACCTCGGCCTGAAATACCGAGGAATGTATTCCTATAGCATAGCTATGGTTAGTATCAGGGTTTTTGGAGAATACTCCTGCCCCAGTGCCTTCCGCAGTCTTAGACCCGTCTGTAATAACTACTACTGGTGATTTGGATTAAAAAACTTTTGTTAATTTTCAAAATTATTCTAATTTTGTAAAAAATAAATAAAATAAAATATTGCATAAGTATTTTCTATTATTTAATTTAATAATCATAAAAAAGTATAGTATTCTACTCGCGGGTAATGGTTATTACTCCATTTATCCTCGTGAGTAATAGCCATCATTATCGGCGGGCGATAAAGGGGCACTTAAAGTCCGCTAAATGTATTTATAATCTGGACTATATCGCCCGGTCGTGCATGAATTAATTTTATTCAGTAATCAAGAAAACTTTGTTCTATATAATTAATAATAATTTTAATTATAATAAGTACCAGTGTTTTTTATGTTGTATGGCTTAGATATTCACAATATGTCAGCATCAGTTTAAGATTTGATTTTTATTAATATGTGTTTTGTGTAGGCTTTGTTACTCTGTCCCTGTTATAAAATTATTTAGATCTCTTTATATTATTTGACGAAATGGAAACTAAACTTTATAACACAAAAAAATATGTGTTTATAGCACCTAACATAATATCGTGTCTTGAAGTAAAATAGATCATTCTTTTTTTTGTTTCTAAATAATAAAATACTGAAATTTTATTTTAAAATACGTTTGAACTAAACTACGCCGCAGATGAAGTGGGACAGCCAAAAAATTGCCTAATTTTGACTAGCTGTAACTCCGACATTTCTTTGTATATGTTAGATTTTCAGCCAGAGGTGGAAAGCGCCACCCTTGCTGTTTGCGTCAGTGACATAGAATATATTTTTTTTAATAGCTTCTTGTTGTACAGGGTGTGAATGTAAGGCAGCGAAAAATGTCCGTTTTTTGGCAAAGAATTTGAAAAATGTGGGGGGCCAAATCAAGTTCTTCCTTATATTGAGTGGATCACTAGGTCGACACCTCGGGATGTCTTTGCCATTTTTTTGATACTTTGCGTTGCTATGGAAATATCGCCATTTTATGAAATTCCATATTTCTTTTAGAATTAGCCTTTTTTTAATTAAAGAATAATAGATACCGACTAAACTGCATCAAGGAATAACGTGTAAAGAAAATGGTCAACACCAGCGGCGTGCAAAAAGGGGTTTATGAAATTTAAAAAACGAAAACTTGATTTTATTTGAAATTTTTAACACTTTTGGTAAGCGTTACAGTTTAAAAGGTGCCATTACTGTAATGAGTTTGATTTTGACTAATTCAGAGAAATACAAAAGTAAAGCTACTCACCCTGTAAGCGCTTACTGATAGTGTCAGTAAGCAATAATAGGTACTTACCATTTTTGCATTTGTAAGTCGGGACATTTGCTTTGAAGAAACTTTATTTCTGCAATTTTATCAAGAAGGCGACAAAAATATTACCATAGAGATAAGATTTTGACGTTAGATTGCATAAGTCAAAACAAAAATAAATTGCTATTGTCCAAATGGCGTGACTTACGGCTGCAGATTTGGTGAATATTTAAAGATTGCGGCAGAGAAAAAACACAATAAGAGAGATTTCTGATTTTCTTAATGTCAAGAAATCATCCGTTGGAAGAGCGTTGCAGAGAGAAGGTAACAATGGTACTGCTGCTTACCGACACGGGGGAGGATCTCGAAAAAGAACTAATCCTCGTCAGGATCGAGCTGTAGTACGGACTGCAATCAGAAACAGAGTTTGGACTGTCAAGAGAATCCGAGCGCAATTGTAGTTAAACGTTTCAGCAGACACTACTAGAAGAGGCCTACATGATCAGGGATTAAATGCTCGCCGTCGGCCAAAATGCCCACTTTTAACTGACATTCACCGGGCCAACAGGAGAAGATGGGCCCAAGAACATATAAATTGGGATCGTAGGTGGAGAGACTGTCTTTTCGTTGATGAAAGCCGTTTCAACCTCTACAATTCCGACGGCGGATTGCTATCTTGGCGGAGACGGGGAGAACGTTATTTAGCAGAAAATATGCGTCCCCAAGTTGCATTTGGCGGTGGTGGATTGACGGTTTGGGGCGGTATTCAACACAACGGAAGGAGAGAACTCGTGGTATTTCGGGGTAATGTAAACGGCCAGGTTTACCTGAATTAATGTCTGATTCCGCTAGTTCTCCCGCATGCTCGAAATTATGGCGAGGATTTTGTACTTGTGGACGATAATGCTCGTCCTCATCGAGCATTATTAGTAAACAGATATATACAAGAGCAAAACCTCAATCGTACTGAATTGCCTCCTATATCTCCAGACTTGAATTCTATTGAGCACGTCTGGAGCTGGATGAAGTTAGAGTTTTCCTGAAGGGAACGTCAGCCAGAAACTCTAGACGATCTCGATCAGATGATTTTAGAGCTCTGGGAGGCAGTTCCTATGGAGCTAACTAATAACTTAATTTCGAGCATGCCAAGGTGGTGTCAGGCAGTTATTCAGGTTAGAGGAGGTCCAACGCCTTACTAATTAATAATTAACAAATATTTATTAAGGATAGGTTAGGTTTATTTTAATATTCTAATGAATTCCATGTACACACTTTATAAAATAAAAACCCTTTTTGTACGCCTCTGAATTAGTCAAAATCAAACTCATTACAGTTATGACATCTTTTAAACTGTAACGCTTACCAAAAGTGTTAAAAATTTCAAATAAAATCAAGTTTTCGTTTTTTAAATTTCATAAACCCCTTTTTGCACGCCGCTGGTGTTGACCATTTTCTTTACACGTCATTCCTTGATGCAGTTTAGTCAGTATCTGTTATTCTTCAATTAAAAAAAGGCTAATTCTAAAAGAAATATGGAATTTCATAAAATGGCGATATTTCCATAGCAACGCAAAGTATCAAAAAAATGGCAAAGACATCCCGAGGTGTCGACCTAGTGATCCACTAAACATCAGAAAGAACTTGATTTGGCCCCCACATTTTCCAAATTCTTTGCCAAAAAACGGACATTTTTCGCTGCCTTACATTCACACCCTGTACAACAAGAAACTATTAAAAAAAATATATTCAATGTCACTGACGCAAACAACAAGGATGTCGCTTTCTACCTCTGGCTGAAAATCTAACATCGGCAAAGAAATGTCGAAGTTACAGCTAGTCAAAATTAGGCAATTTTTTGGCTGTCCCACTTCATTTGCGGCGTAGTTTAGTTAACAGTTGCAGAGGCGCTTTTCGTAGGACTATTTAAATATTGGCGAGAAATCTTTATAACGATATATGGTATTGGTCATATTGTAGCAAACGCGCTGTGATGTCAGATTTACGACATTCAATAGCTATCGAGGATCGAAATGCATTTTTCATTGGTCAATAGCGTTAATGAGTCTATAAATATTTAACGATCGTTCTTGCAATCGGTTGTAAGTATTTTAAATTAAACATATTTAGCCTAAATTTATTTTTGATCAGTTGTGTTTAGGCTATTTGATATTAGATCAAACTATTTAAGACATTTTTGAGACCAATTTTCTAAGAACTGAAAAATAAACAAAATATTGAATTATGAACAGTCCAAAATGTTGTGTGATCATTCTGAGTACATAAAAAGATAACGATATGAAATATCACATTTTAAAACCTGTTACCAAAGTACTTATAACTAAATATCAATTCGTACCTATTTAATTTATTAGTAGAATACGGCAATAAATACATTCACACAAGGTCAAACGTTTTGAAAAAAAAATTTTAAGCTATTGCATAGCTTTTATCGCGGGCTTTGAGAGCGGCGAACGAATCAAGATATTCCGTACCACCGTAACGAAAAAAAACCTAACACCCCCCACTCCAACGTACACAGCGGTGCGGCGTTAAACAATATCTCATTTATTCAATAAAAGAAAATCGAAAAATCGAAAAATCGAAAAATCGAAAAATCGAAAAATCGAAAAATCGAAAAATCGAAAAATCGAAAAATCGAAAAATCGAAAAATCGAAAAATCGAAAAATCGAAAAATCGAAAAATCGAAAAATCGAAAAATCGAAAAATCGAAAAATCGAAAAATCGAAAAATCGAAAAATCGAAAAATCGAAAAATCGAAAAATCGAAAAATCGAAAAATCGAAAAATCGAAAAATCGAAAAATCGAAAAATCGAAAAATCGAAAAATCGAAAAATCGAAAAATCGAAAAATCGAAAAATCGAAAAATCGAAAAATCGAAAAATCGAAAAATCGAAAAATCGAAAAATCGAAAAATCGAAAAATCGAAAAATCGAAAAATCGAAAAATCGAAAAATCGAAAAATCGAAAAATCGAAAAATCGAAAAATCGAAAAATCGAAAAATCGAAAAATCGAAAAATCGAAAAATCGAAAAATCGAAAAATCGAAAAATCGAAAAATCGAAAAATCGAAAAATCGAAAAATCGAAAAATCGAAAAATCGAAAAATCGAAAAATCGAAAAATCGAAAAATCGAAAAATCGAAAAATCGAAAAATCGAAAAATCGAAAAATCGAAAAATCGAAAAATCGAAAAATCGAAAAATCGAAAAATCGAAAAATCGAAAAATCGAAAAATCGAAAAATCGAAAAATCGAAAAATCGAAAAATCGAAAAATCGAAAAATCCAAAAATCCAAAAATCCAAAAATCCAAAAATCCAAAAATCCAAAAATCCAAAAATCCAAAAATCCAAAAATCCAAAAATCCAAAAATCCAAAAATCCAAAAATCCAAAAATCCAAAAATCCAAAAATCCAAAAATCCAAAAATCCAAAAATCCAAAAATCCAAAAATCCAAAAATCCAAAAATCCAAAAATCCAAAAATCCAAAAATCCAAAAATCCAAAAATCCAAAAATCCAAAAATCGAAAAATCGAAAAATCGAAAAATCGAAAAATCGAAAAATCGAAAAATCGAAAAATCGAAAAATCGAAAAATCGAAAAATCGAAAAATCGAAAAATCGAAAAATCGAAAAATCGAAAAATCGAAAAATCGAAAAATCGAAAAATCGAAAAATCGAAAAATCGAAAAATCGAAAAATCGAAAAATCGAAAAATCGAAAAATCAAAAAATCGAAAAATCGAAAGCCGTGCATCGTCTAACGTTGTTTCAGTTCGGCAGACTTCGGCAGTGTTTGTGTGCGTGCGACTAGACGTATGCGTGTAGACTAGCTGCTAACTGCTCATAACTGATTCTATCTCTTTTAGACACAATTTCGGAAAAATTGAATTTGAAAATGAATAATGATCCACAAGAATTCACAAAAAAATATGGGACCACCATTGACGCGGTATTTTCCAGATATTTAGAGGATATCAAGTCTCAAACTTATGTTTCTTATTTCAGTTACCATAAATCTATAGTTTCAATGATAAAAATTCCTGAATAACCTACATGTATTGTAAGATAATACAAATATTTTAAACAATATTAACTTCTCATTTATTCAATAAAAAAAAAATTGTTTTCTTTTCGGTCACCACGCTCAAAAAATGTAACTTGAATTTATATCAAAGAAAAAAAATACTGCATAAATAAAAGAAATAAATAATTACGAGTATAATTGCATAAGTTGATAAAAATGCTATGCAATAGCTTTACCGCGGCAGTCCCCGAGTGCAACACGTATTTTTATTATTTTTCTCTAAGAGTGCTTCAATTAAATCCAAAATTTAACGAATAAATAGTCATCAGATAGTTCTAAAAATAAATAACGCCCTCCTATAGGTATAGCTAAATATATTTTTACATGACATTCTTATAGTACTTATTTTTAAATGTAAATCTCTAGCTAATATAGAATCCCTGGCCCTATATAAAAAAAATGAAGAATTATCTCCCTATATTTGAATTGGTAAAAAAATCTTGATTCACTAGCCACGAAAGACCAAATAAAATTAAACATTACTTACTTTTAAATCATGAGATGACCAAAGACATATGGTTCCTCTACTGCATCCTGTAATAAGAAATTTTGAACTTGTCCATTCTATACAACACATCTCGCATCGTTTTAGCTCTAAACTAATATTACACAGGCAAAAGTTAGTCACTGCTGTAATCTAAAATAAAATATTTGAGGCGCTGAGTTCCAAAACTCGCTTCTTGTATGCTAAGTCATTTTTCAAAAATCTAAAAAAACCTTTGGTAAGCTGAATTTTGCCATTTAAGCTTTTTACTTTTTTTTGGTTTATTGGAATGGCTTTTTTGTATATCCATGCAAGAGGAAAACTATTTTTCTTTAAAAACATAATGACACTAATTACTTTTAATTTGCAAGGAACGAGTTTTGGAACTTTCCAGTGCAAGAAAACAGTTTGGAACTAACTTATCTGCAAGTAAACAATTTTGTATCTTGCAGCTATTGAGTTGTTTGGTCGAAGGGTGGGAAAAAGGATGATTTATCAATAATTAATAAATAAATAAATAAATAGTAAAATATTTTATTCGTTAAAAATACTACTAAGGATTAAAAAAAATGTCAAACTAAAATTAAAATTTAAAAAAATTATGTTTTAATGAAGATCGAAAAATATGACAAGGATCTGCCTCGTCATATTCTTAGATCTTCATTTTCTTCAAAATAGTTATTTTCTTCATCAAGGTCCTCATTCTCTTCTTCCTGAGCATCACCGTTAACATCCAAAATTTCACGATAAAAGTTTAAAGTTTCTATGTCTCGCCAGTCTGCTCCAAAATGTTTTTTAAGAACTTTGTTTACGTCTGTCAATTTTTCGGGCTTTATGCTTACAGTGGAGGTTAATAGTTGTGGTTTAATCATTGCGAGTGTTTTCCCTTTTTTTAAAATGCCTTTGGGAACACCTAAGTCTGACCGATAGTGCTCCTCTCCTTGTAGCGATATATTTCTCTTCCTGTCTTTCTTGATAATTATTCGTTTGCTTGGTGCAAACTTGAAATGTAGGCCACCTGCTGATCTTAACACAGATGAAACTTCAGTTTTCCAGTCCGCAACAGCAACTTCTTCAGTGACTTTTCGCACTGTTCCAAACTCTGAAAAAATGTTCAGGTATTCTTGTGGGTCAATCAAAGTATCGACTTTTCTAATTTTCTTTTCTATGCGACCAAAGACTCTGTCTGCCGGTAAAAACGAATGTCCAACAATAGGAAACACCATTGTTATCTTATTCATGTCAGTCTCTGTATTTGAAAACCACTGGCACAACATACCAGTTACAGTCATATTCTTGTTCTGACCAGGGCAACCGTCGCAGAACAGTTTTATCTCCTGCACATTCGTCAAGTCACTTTTCTGGAGGTGGTGAAAGATAATTGAAGCTATCTCATTGGATCCCTTCAAACTCTCATGTTCACATTACGAGTACATAAACACTGAGTCTTTATTTTGGGCGCTTCGTGAATCACTAACACATATGGTGAAATTGTACAGATACAATTGCCTACTGTAGTAAGCTGCTTGGTCAGGAACACGGGGTAGAGCAAGATTTTTTTGGCAGTCAAATGATAATTTCATGACAGTTGGTTCCTCTACTTTTTTTAACATGTCATAGAAACACTTTGATTTCATTTTATGAACAGTTAACTGTGCCATTAGTTCTGTCTTGTTTCTACCTGGTGGCGTTACAGAAATCTTGCATCGAAGACTAATGCAAGTAGAACATGCATCAGTTGCAGAACTTTTGAAACTGATGTTGTAGTCAAAATTAAAGACATGCAAAAAGAAAGAGTACTTCACTTTTTTCTCTGGGTCAACTCCTTGATTATACTGCTTCCATAATGCACGTACATTGCAATCACTCGGTAGGTAGCGTCTCAAACTTTTTTCCCTTGTGTAATGGGATTCGGCAAACTGCAGCTGGCTGAAGAAGTTCTTAAGGCTCTGTCTAATTTCTGTGAATTTAGCAGAGCGATGATCACCACCTCGTTTCTCTTTCGGACATTTTCCATCTCGTAAAAATTTTTGCAGATGTTTTGAATCCTGAACTTTGATATGCCCAAAATACTCAGAAACGCCTTTTGACAAACCTGGAAACAAAAAATGGCATATGAATGCTTTGAAAATGTTCTATAGGCTCAGTATTATAATGTTTCCGTATAAGTACCTAGTACCATAGTTGAAAACATGAAAAAAATCTTTGTTACCTACCTGTATTCTTCTTTTGTTTTTGGTGTGTATAAAGTATCTGATAACAACTTGTGTTGATCTTTTGTCAATTTGAATCCTTTTGGGCGATTCTTGCTCTGTATACTTGAGGATAAAAACATCTTGATCCGATTTGGAGACATTAGAATAAAATCTTTCATGGAATCTGCGAATGTCTTGCATACCAAGTTTTTCACAATTGTAGACTTTCTTTTTATCGTGACTGCAGTTTGGCTTTTGTGGAAGAGCCTTGGCCTTGTATCTGTAATGTTTAAAAACAGTAACCATAATAAAGTTTTTATTTAATACTAAATAATAGAAATTTAATTACTTCCAAAATCAGAATAGGCACTGAGCATAGTTAATTTTTTAATGCATACTCTTACCTTTTAAGTTTAGTAGTGTTTTTTTTCCACTTTTCAGGCTGGCGCTTTCTTTTTCTGGTGCGGTTCGGTTCTTCCATTAAAGAAACTTATATAATATTACTAATAATCACCAAAAAGCAAAATTTTATTTAAAACTACACAAAAAAATAAAGAAATCGACACAGAGATACCACGAAATTAGGTTATGGTTGCAAGGAGCGAGTTTTGTTCTGTTTCACGCAAGGAAGCAGTTTTGTTACTCAACTGTCAGTGCAAGGAAAGAGTTTTGGAACTAACTTCTACTTTCAGATGCTAAAAACAGTGAGAAGAAGAGAGTTCTGTTTATTTTTCACCTGTTTAACTGAAACAGAGAGGTTATATCTGTCAAAAGTGACCACCACCTCATTTTTTTAAATCTATGCAAGAAGCGAGTTTTGGAACTCATCTCCTCATTTAATCAAAACTTTCTGCAGTACGGCTATGCGATAGTTTATAATTTTCAAAAAACTTATAGCGTTCTTTCGCCATTTAAAAATCATTTGGTAAATATAAAAATAATTATTTAAATTTAAATCATGTGATAGGTGTGGTCGATGTTGTTAAGCCAACAAAAAGACGGTAATAAACGTAGTAAAATAATGAAAATGTATTAAGAGGTTGTCGGCGACGTATACCACAAATCAATCTAACACAAGAATTTTGTAATACTTGAATTTTTCGTGTATCCTGGTTATCAATATTCGGACCATATACGCTATCACAGAAATTAAGTTTAGATAATACTAACGCCTCGCAAAGATTTTTCTTTACTATTTTATCTAGATAATGTCGATTGCCGTAAATTATTTTCAGATTAACGTATCCTATTTTAATACAGTTGGTAACGTGTTTTCTAAATCTTAGAATAGTGTCAAAAGTAAGGCCGAGGTTTTTTGCCTCTCCCGATGGTGTAATACTGTATCCATCAATATCAATTTCTATGCTACTTAATAGCTCAGAGTACTTCCTTCCTCCCCCAAAACACAATCACTTTGTTTTTTCTCTATTTAGTTTTAAAGAGTGACTTTTAGATTCCTCAACAATTTTATAGACTTATAGACTTATCATGATTTACAGTTTCAATTGCATCTTCAATATCAGTGGGTCTAAAGGAGTAGTAAATCTGAGTATCATCAGCATAGAAATGTATTGAGGTTTTAGTAACAACTTTTCTAAAATTAGAAGTATATACGGTATATAGTAGTGGTCCCAATATAGACCCTTGTGCTATTCCAGATGGTAACTTAAGAGGCGTAGATACATTTTCCTGTATTTGAACACATTGGGAACGATTAGTTACATAGCTTTTGAAGAATTCTAAGGAAAGGTCGTCTAGTCCAACATAATGTAAAATAGCTATTAACATTTGATGATTCAATGTATCAAAGGCTTTAGAGTAATCCGAAATTATAAGTAAGGTAATCATATTTTCATCAGTGGCTCTTAAAATATCATCCGTAATAGCTAACAGGACCGTTTCGCAACTATGTAGAGGTCTAAAACCTGACTTGATTTGAATTTTTTGTATTTTCTTTTTTATATAGGCAACCAACATTACAGAAGTTATAAATTATTTCACGTTTTTTTTTTAATTTACCTAATTTTTTAGTATTTGGACGAATTATTTAGTTAAACAGGTATGTCCTAAAAATATAATATTGCGTTATTTCATTATTACTTAAGGTTATACGACAATTTATTCGATGCACTAGTGTGGAATTACCTTGTGGAATATTTCCACACTAATTATGGATAGGTACGGAATTGCCTACTTTAAAACTCAAAAAACAATTAAAAATATGTGATTTTCTGTAGTGGTCGCCGAAAAAGATTATTTTCCTTATTACAACCACAATCATTCCAGTATTATAGTTAATTTGAAAAAGCTTTTAAATACTTGCCTTTTGCTGTCGAAAATCTAATATAGCAAACTTGCTTCCGTATGCAAGTGATACGCCGAGTTGAGTACCAGCTTGATTCCATTTGATACAATGTTTTACTTTTTGATCTAAATAAGTGAATCCTGTTTTTTTCTCTGGATTCCAAAAGTAAACTGCGCCTTTGTAAATGGTAGCTATGTATCCGGTGCTACCCCAGTCAACTGGGTTCTGACCTGAAGAAGAAATGTTATTGCCAATTAAAAAAAAGTGGAAATTATTGTCGGTTAAACATAATAACACTAATGAAAATAAGCAAAATAGTAGATAGACAAGGCTGGTTCTGCAATCAAGAGACCATTTTCGTTGGTTTTGGATCACTCGCCAATGATATAGGTTGGTTCTACATTCAAAAGACTGCTATCGTACAATACGGAACACTCGCTAATATTGCACTAGTTTACAAAATTTAACTTTTTGTCTGTTTCCGCGAATTCTGTGGTTGATAATGTTCACTTATGACTTGTTTTTGTCAAATCTAACCTCAACATTTTTTGAGCAGCTCGAGTTACTTTGTTTTTGATTTTTATCATTTAAGCGTATATATTAATCGATAACAGGCGTATTTTATTCTATTAAGATTATAGTATCTAAAGTTTTTGCGTCATGAGTAGTTCAAGGAGACGTTGTTTAAAGAATTCAGATCATTTATGCTATATATGCGGGAAATATGTGTTTAACGATTGTAGAAAAGTTATATCAGAGTTGGTGAAAAATACCAATTTTGAGTATTTTGGGATGCTCTTGGTTAAAAATGAGAAGTCTTGGACTCCCAATTGTGTTTGTAAATCGTCTATAGAATATTTAAAATTATGGAAAAGTGTTAAAAGAAATGCCTTTAAATTTGAAACACCGACTATTTGGCGAGAACCACGAAATTATCTCGAAGACTGTTATTTTTGTACCGTGAATGTAAACGGTTTAAACACTAAAAATCGAGCTAAATGGCAGTACCCAAGTGCTAGTTGTATTTAACGTCTAGTGCAGCGTTCACCTGACTCTTCAGTACCTAAAAATATATCTGAACCCTTGGAACAAGACATTGAAGGGCCAAGCTCATCAGAAAATTATGCTGATTTTAAAGGTATGTCAAATAAGCCTAAATGATTTTCCCAAAATGAGTTAGATGATCTTGTAAGAGATTTAAATCTTTTTCAACAAGCTTCAGAATTGTTAGCATCAAGACTGAATGAAAAAAATTTGCTTTCCTCAGATACTAAAATAGGTTTTTATCGTGAAAAGGATAAAGAATTACGGCGTTATTTTTCTGAAGAAAACGGTATTACCTTCTGTACAGATATTAAAAACTTGTTAATAAAAATGGGCTTGAAATAATACGAACCAAAGACTGGGATTTATTCATTGACAGCTCAAAACGTAGCCTAAAATGTATTCTATTACATAATGAAAATAAATACGCTGGAGTACCTATTGCCCACAGTACAAAGTTAAAGGAAGAATGTTGTAACATTTTGCTAGTCTTGAACAAAATAAAATATAGTGACCATAAGTGGCAAATTTGTGTCGATTCAAAAATGGTGAACATTCTTCTCGGTCAACACTAAGTTTCCCTGTTTTATATGCCGGTATTTTTGATGGCCCCCAAATTAGAAAACTTACGAAAGATACTCAATTTATAAATTCTATGACTAAGTTAGAACTAAAGGCTTGGACAGCTTTCGTCTCTGTAAAGCAGAATTTTATCGGAAATAAAAAATCTGCAAATTACATTGAACTTGTAGAAGACCTTCTGCTACAATTAAAAAATATGGGGTGCAATATGAGCATAAAACTGCACTTTCTCCATAGTCACCTGGACAGCTTTCCGGAAAATTTAGGAGATATGAGCGAAGAGCAGGGAGAGCGTATGCATCAAGACTTACGCGTCATAGAAGATCGCTATCAGGGTTTCTGGGACACGAATATGATTGACTATTGTTGGTCTCTGATACGTCATTTTCCGAAGTCTACACATAAGAGAAGAGCTTTAAAACAATGTTTTTTAGAACTCTTTTATTTTCACAGCTTTAATTCTATAATGCTGTAACGCTTAATGTTATTCGTAAGTGACCAACCTATTATAATAATTAAAGATTATTGTATTACAGGCATGAAGATGTTCCTGTAAGGCCAAAACTAGTCGCTCCTGTATTTATTTATAATACAATTGATTTTAAGGTTTTATTCTTCAATTGAAAAAATTAGACATTTAAAGTGATTTTGTTTCATTTCCTGCATTAGACACATATAAGACGGTATTCATTTTAAAAATAGTAAAATTAGCAACTTTTTAGTTTTTTTTACAATTAAAACGTTTGGACAATGTGTGTTTTTATAGATAAATGATACGCCACTGAACAAGAAGGATGTTTACCTTCCCCCTTGTGCCCGCTTCCTCATTTCCTCTACAGATGTTGCTAACACAACAATCGCCTAAAAACTCGTTTTCAGGCTCCCTCTATTAGTAATTGCTCGGAGTATACGACAGCAACTTCAGGTAGCTTCTTCTCCCGTGAAACGGATTCTACAACTAATCAGTCCATTGACAATTAACATATGACAGTTTAACGTATTTTCCGCTTATTTACGGATATATGCAGAAAAATATTGACCGCTTATAAATAATGTACTGTTCTATATTATTACTTATACTGGGGTTTAGAGCAGGGTAGCCGAGAGCCAGACCGGGCCCCAGGACAATTCTCCAGATCGGGCCTTGCGACAATTTTATAAAAAATTAAATAAAGTAAGGTCTTCAAGAAAAAATTTCTCCTCCTTTACTTCTCTCTAAAAAAAAGCCTTCAACTAAGAACTTCCCCCTCTTCTGTTGAACTTCTGAAAGTAACAAATACCACCGCTGCGGGCTCCCCCTTATACCGCAGAAAGGCCTCCATTTAAGCCCGGGCCCCGGGAATTAGTCCCGGCTGCCCCCTCCCCTAGTCGGCCCTGGTTTAGAGCCCCACTTAATTAGCGCAATTTTGTGCCGTATATAAAACATGAGTTATCAAAGAAAAAAAAAGTTAAAAATAATTTACTTACATAACTCAGTGGCCAGGTCAGGCATATCCAGTACCATTTCTGGTTCAGAGGGTATTGTAGGTTTATTACGAGGTTCCACAGGCCAATGATTAACAGTCGGAGTTTTTAAGGTGTAAATGTTCTGATTTAGTATACAAAAAGAATCATAATGTGAAAAGGGCCTCAACAGGAGTACATTTCTTAACCTAAAAATATATATTTTGCATCATGTATTAAAAGCGCGAGTGTTTACACTATGAAGACTAGAGGTAAGGAGGCGAATTGGCATGCTCAAAATACGGTCCCAAAAATCACACGTCAATTGAGCTTTTATAATTAACCACATGGGCGCTGGTACGGTTTACGTAGTTCAAAATACATGGCTTCTTATGGGAATTATACATAATTTTGTCAAAATAATAAAAATAAACTTGTTTACAGCTAAATAAAGCACAGTACATACTGTTGTATTTATTTCTAAATAAGTCTTGTATGTTTTAATTGATAAATTATTTAATTTTATCTATATAAAATACAATTTTGGTATGTATGATCAAATTCGAAAAGGTTTCTTAATTGCTGAAATTTGATAAGTACAATTTTGTGGCAAATTTTTTTTTGTATTGAACCAATATATAGTTTTAAGAGTAAAATAAAACACAGTTAACAGATTTTTTATTGTTGAAATACAAGTATAAAGGGATATTTGGGAATGTACATGGTATTACCTCATCTTTTAATTTCAGCTGTCCCCTTTTTATTTTGCTAACAGTACCATTAGTTAAAATAGTCTCATCAAATTTTGAAATATCATCTCCTAAAAAGTGTAGCTCGCAAACAGAATCATAACTAGACAGTACTTTAACAGCCCTAGGAATCACATGCTGCCATTGTTCTAAACGTTTAGGATCCTTTAAAAAATATTTGCAATGACTAAGTTGAAGTTCAATAAAGAAAAATAACAGTAGTAACTCTTCATCTAAAATCAAAAAACATAAAAAAAGCAAATTTTTTTTTCTAGTAAGTTAAATATAATGTGTAATTATTGTTGTTTGTAAGTCAGGATTTATGACTTTATTATTTTTTATCATAAAATTTTGTAATTAAATAAACTACACTCCTTAAGATACGGGTTGTGACTATTTTACAATAAATATATATTATTTAGAAATAAATACATTATTTTACTTACACTAGGAGCTTTAAAAAGACTTGGATTTTAATCTCCTTGTGTTTTCTTTAATTTAATATCGGATTTATATCCCGTTTTTTAACTCGAAACGAAGAAATCCTGCTTTTCCGTTTTTTGTTACTCATTGTTACTTGTAGTCAGGTTCTTTATTTCAGCTTATTTTTATTCTTTTTACTAAATTTTTCAAAAATCACTTTAATTCCCATTGACTTGCATAGAAAATAGACGTCGTTATTTTGCCAACCGCCAACTACAGTAGTTTTTTGGAACTCCATAAAAATAGGGACGGAAATTTGAAATTTGACCAAGGCCTATTCGCCTCCTTATATCTAGTCTTCATAGTTTACACTAATTCACGATGAAAGACAATAGGTGTTTCAACTTCCCTAAAATCCCATATAAAAACAAAAGACGATATGGCACCAAACACAACATAGTTCCAAAAAATTCACCAGAGGTCGTTAAAAGGTGAGGTACCCGTTTGATCATTATAAGAGCTAGATAAAGTGTATTTTAACATCAACATGTATCCAATTTCAATATTTGGCCATCAGATGATTGATCAATCATTTGACAGGTAATATAATATACTATATACAGCATGACATATATTATATTTACGAACAAATATAATTGTATTTTATTTATAACTCTAATAATTTTGCAATATTATTTATTGAAGTTAGTTTTAAGTAATGCTTTTTTCATCATTGTTGAGCTCTAGTTATTATCTAGTCTAGTTATTGTTGATCTTAGATATGAATAATGTACTTGTCAAATTTTAATTTAGATAAATTAAAAGTTGAATTGGACAAAGTAGAAATAAAATAATAAAGACGATAGTAATTGCTGAAATATATTATTTTGTAGATAAAGAAAGGAAACGAATAAAGGTATTTTCAATTTTTGAAATGTGTATATCTGTACATTTTATTAGAATTAGCAGTTCGACTGTTAAGACATCATCCGTATATTATAAATGTAAACAAGAATGGAATGATTGGTAATTTGTTCTTTTTTTACATTTATAATGGATACTAATAAAATTTCCACACTTGAAAAGACCTACCTTTCCTTCGTTTTTCTTTATCAATCTGTGTGTAGTTACACCTACAAACCTTTGATTTATTTTGTAAATGATTAAAGTTGTATAAGTTAATGAATCTGTTGAAAACAATCCTCTGCGTTTATATTTAATAAAAAGTTTATTGCAACACTTATTCATATAGGTAATTAAGGTTTACAGATCATTTTTATACCTACCCTTTTCATCAATTTGCCTTGTAAGAAGCACATTTTATTACAATTAGGAGATCCCTCCATGTGAAATTGTTTAGGACTGGTAACAAAATAAGCATGTATCTTTAGAATGTGTTTATTGTCACGTTTAGTGGTTTGTTGGGCAAACCAATTAATCGTGGGGTACGCCACTGCGTATTTCGGATCGCCCAAACGATCTTACAGTCGAGGAAGATCTTTGTGCCACCAGAAAATACTCACTGGAGAACCTTTCTTATGATTTATTACGCTTGGCTTGGCTTTACGCTACTGGGGAAGGAATAAAAGTCACTGCATAAAAAACTACAAATCTTTAATAAATACAAACTAAAATCCCCTGAACAACCCAGAAATCCCCAATATTATAATACACTCCAAATATACAATATATACACTACAAAGACTTTAGGGAACCAACTGGTTATTTTTCTCAGAAATACCTTTTTTATTTTATTTTTTACTAAATTTATAAAATACTCTTATCACATGCTTTAACAGGAAGCTTAAATGTCACGATTTTTTATTTTTATTTTTATTGCTGTAATACAGCAGAGTATTACCTACTGCCGATTTATGTCACAGCCGAAGAACTTATAGCCTCGGTTGTGCCAAAAAATGTTATTTTTTGTTTTGTCAATTTGGCTAGCTGACCCCAACATTGTTTTGAAATTGTAGAATCAGCATAACTGAATTGAGTGCTTCGTTTACTTTCAACATAAAATAAAGTTGTTAATTACTAGACGAAAAGATTGTTATGGTTTTAAATAACTTTAAATGCAATATTAAACACAAATTGGAATTGAATCGAAATTAAAAAATTGAAATAAAATTATATTTTTGAAAATGGCTTTAATAAAATTTGAGTTGAAATATATTTTTGGAAAGTACTCTATTTTATCTTTAATAAAAATCTAATTATTTTTAAATGCAATTATTAATTATCTAAAATGTGGCAGTTATAATTTTATACCTACTCTTCTGTAAACATAATATCACCTATTATTTCTAAATTCATTTCAACAATATTTACAATTTTGTAGAAAAGAATACATACTATTTTTCTTATTTAATTATTGCTGTCTTGTACACTAAAAATGATGATAAATAGTAATGTTCTCACTTTGTTTTAATGAAATATATATGTGGTATGTGGTATAGTATTTTTCTTCTTATTTTCACTTTCCATATTGTTTGTTATATAGAGTATTATTAGTAGACATTAATAAATTACCATTATTTAAAAAAAAATTGGATATAGACGTATTTTTTACTCGATTAAGATAAAATTAACTGAATTTTTCTGACAGTTCGCAGTCATTATTTGTTTTCATTTGAAGTACTTCATCGACATCTAGTGGATTTTTTACATACTATGCTGTTATTGGTGCCATATTTTAAAAAGAGTTGAAACACCTGTAAAATGTCATTCACCGGGCACTAATTGCATATCGATTGTATAACGCTTATACTCCGTATCTGTAAAGAAATCGAAATTCGTTTTTTTTAGAGATGTCGCCACTGGTATCTCCCACGCGTCTGCAAATTCACTGTGTCGTAAGTTTACTAGAACGCGCCAAATTTTAATAAATGTAAAAGGTGTCCCATAACGTCCTAATAACATATTTTTCAGAAATATCCCGTATCGTTTAGTTTATTATAGTGATTTTACAGGTTGGTATTTATAAATGAGCTGTTTACAATGTCTTTATTATTGAAAGAAATACGTAAAAACTCGGTAAGTTTTAATTATGTTTAAATAAATAAAGCAATTTGTGCGTTTCTATTAAAATAATCTAAATTAGGTATTGTTTTATAAAAAACTATTTTTTGAAAAAAATTTACGAAACGGGCTATTGTCAAGGGTATTATACCAAAACCATGATAATTGTCAGCTATTTTTGTTAAATCTAAATCTCGAGAATATTTTATTATCAATTTGATGAGTTATAATTTTTGGCATTAATAATCTGATTAGAGCTCGAGAACTTTAGCGCGAGGGCTTTAATCAATTGATTAATAATGCCAAAATTATGTAAAATCGAATTGTAAAATGTTCGAGAAATTTAGCAACAAAAATAGCGGAATTTAATTCAAGGTCTTGTTATATTTGGAACGACTATTTCACTAGACCAAATATCGAGAAATAGTCGCTGACATTTGGTCTAGAGAGATAGTCAATATAATTAAATTCGAATTTATATTTAGATACGGGATATTACCTACACGTTGTTTTTATTTTAACTTTTAACAGATCAATAATTTGTTGAGAAGCAAAAGAATGGTTGCTAGCTCAGTAGTCCAGGATGCCAAGGCGAATAAAACAAAAAATTATCCAAATGAGCGTGCTGTACCACAGCCTCCTCTAAAACAAGCCGCGCTGTGTAAACTTGGCAACAGGGCTAGGTGGTCCGGAAATCTAGTCTTGTATTTCTCTATGCACATGCAGACTAGGGTAGTCACAACACAAAAAGATTCTTACATTGTATCTTTATTTTTCTCTGTGTTTTCTGATTTCTCATTGTGCCTATTAGGTAAAAGATTTTATGCTAAAGTAATTGTCAATCGATAATAATTCATACTGGTTATACGAGGATATATCAGTATATAACGAGACTGGTGCTATAACTTCTTTCAGAGGTAACATTTTATAACCCAAAAAATGAGACATGAAAGCCTTATATTTAGTGTACTACCCCGCAAGTAGGCTTTGATTTAACTTTTGACATTTGTTACAAATT